GAGAGGTGGGTGGTGTAGACACCTGGGGCACCTCCCTCTCTCTGGTCTTTGCCTCCCTCCTTTGTGAAATGAGAGCGATGGGACCAGCACCGAGATGTGGGTGGTGTAGACGCCTGGGAGCACCTCCCTCTCTCTGGTCTTTGCCTCCCTCCTTTGTGAACTGAGAGCGATGGGAATTGCACTGACAGGTGCTCATCGTCCTGGTCAGAGCATAGACCTGGGAGTGCTCTCCTGGGTTCAGGTCCCAGCTTGGCCATTACTAGAAATGGAGCCTTGAATGAGATTACCCTTTGTGCCCTGTGTCCTTGGGTATGACTCTGCAGGAGAGAGGGACAGAGCCAGTCGCAGAGAGGTGAGAGCCGGGAAGAGCCAGTGTGCAGGATGCTGGGCAGGAAGAGGGTGGCAGGACAGGGGAGACCGCTGTGGCCCAGCCAAGGTCCTGCATTAACCAAGCTGCAGATTCTGTTTAAAAATCTAATTCACTACTTGCTGCAAACACTGACTGGAAGAGGCTCGTTCTGTGTGACAGTGACAGTGCCTTGTCCCCTTTCGTGAAACCTTCCCTTCTTGGCCACAAACCGTGAACACCCCTCTCACTATTTCACACCTTTCAGAGAAGGGAATGCTTCATCCCTTTGAGTTGCTCTGTTTAAGAAAAAGAACAAGATACTCAAGTCATCCTTACTTAGGTGACTCAGTTTACTCATTAAAGACTGAAATAATACTGTCTCAGTTGTCCATGCTGACATCTTCCCGTACAAAGCACTGTGCATGTTACAGAGCAACTTTCCTCACTTTTGTATCTCTGTTGAGTAATTAAAAATAAGTAACTTTGTTTACCAGACAAAGCTCTGTTGTCTAATGTTAGTTATCATTTCCAAAAATGTATAATAAACATCTATTTATTTATTCAGTCAATATATCTCATTACATGCTTACTTTTTCTCCTGATACATCTGTAAATCTATTATATTGTAATTAAAAAGTAATCCAAAAATACAGTCTTTTAAAGTTATTTAACCTTTCTTTTATTCTATATTATTTGAATTATTGCATTGTGTTCAACACCATACAATTCCAACATGATAAGTACATTTCTATATTATCTCAAGTTTACTGCATTGGGACTGAAAGGACTAGTGGGTTGGCTGTGAAAATGAGAGATGATGGAGATTCTGTTATGATCAGTTATTGGTATAACCACAAATAGATTTTTCTATGAAAAGTTTGCTTATATATTCA